CATACATACATACATACATACATACATACATACATACATACATACATACATACATACATACATACATACATACATACATACATACATATCCGAAAAATTCGAGCGGATCTTCAAGACTGGTGCGTGCTACAGCAGTATCGCCAAACGATCGGCACCAAACAGCGCTGCCGCCGGCAAAGATGAACTATGGTGGCAGACACAATGCACTTTTAGATTGAGTTCATCGGGCAGCACGGTGTGGAAAGTGGCAGGAGCATAGCAGTTCAAATAAGGCCAATCGTCACTGTTTTCTCTCATGGACCGGGCCATCATCTTAGTTTATGTCTTATTTCGGTTTCAATCGCGTGCGCGAGATCTCGACTCGCATGATCCCCCTTCAACTCGACAACTCCCGGGGTTTGGGTGAGGTATCTCCTTCGAATGTTCGGGATGAAGGCCTGTGTAACACAGCCATCTCTTTTCCGGAGCACCGTCAAACAGGTGCGATGAAGATTGCCACATTATTTTCCCTCCGCTCCGAAACCAGTACATGCGTGGATGTTGTTCCGGTCGAAACGGAGGGTAATTTCGGTCGCCGGTGTATTTTTCTTTGGGCTGTCTCATCTCGTTGGAAGAGGCCGACGTTTTCAAGCTGTTTCTCCCCTCCTGGGATGGAGGCCTCCCCTCCTGGGATGGAAGCAAAAAACTGGGGCGGCTTCGCCTCTCCATTGCTCAAACAAAGATATCATGTTTTACTCTTTGCAGCTCGCTCGAGTTAATTGTGTTTGTATCACGCTTCACCTCTTTGCATGCTGCAGTCGGTCAGTTCGGTTCGGGCGCGTTTTGGGATGTTGGTTTTGTTCATGATCTGGTTAAGGGTTCCTCTTCGCCCGGCCGTGTCGGGTTGGGTTGGGTTGGCGTTGGGGTTGGTTGCGTACGGTTGGGTCGGTAGGTCGATCGGGCGGCCATGTGCCACCTGATTTGTCGATCCCGCCGCATCGCTCTGTCGATCGCCCTCTTCGGTCGCTCTTGTATCAATGTGCATCTACGTTGCGGACGCTGCTCCTCGTTACCAGCGAACCACTCTTTCGTGCGTTTCAACCTTCGATTTCAGTTGCCGGCCCACCCCATGTAGTCGCGAAAGGTACACGTCCTAACCACTTTTTAGGTATTGATTCTATGCTATACTCAAAAATACCCCGTCAAGCACGGGTTCGCATCGACCAGCGGCATCAACAGACTTGGTGTGGAGCAAAGAAGAGGCAACAGCTACAATACCTATGGTGTCGACAAGTCCGCGTCCATATTGCGTCTCCAAAACCAAAAGCTAGCAAACACAAGCGCCCAAAAAAGCAAAACACACTCGTTCTAATTTTTGCGTCCCCAAGACTGAAAATATAAACACCCAAAACAACAGCGAAACACAGCAGCAAACACGTTGGTATTGTAATTTTGTGGCCAAATCCATCATCACCCATCGGAACGATATCGAGGCCTGATTCCAAAATCTATTTTTCTGCACTGCCTCGATGTAATTGCGGTTTGCACTACACGCGATGACACTCTTCGGCGCCACACGCGATAACGATGACTGCACGCCACTACACTGACCACTTCATGTAACTTCGGCGTGCGAAAAAACATCAGCGGTTTCGGGCAGCTCCTATCCAGGTCGGGGGTCGCGCAACTGAGAAAGCGGACATGGGAGCCATCCTGTATACCGTCAGGTGTGGCCATCTAATATGCTTTGGCATTTAGCAAGGAGTACTTGGTACCCGGCGATGTATTTTGGGACACCCGTATTTTGGGACACCCGTTTTTTGTGGCTGTGCACACCCACGGTGAGTCCTCAGGGGTTCCGCAGAAGGCCGACAAGTGGGGGAAGTGATGGCATTGTGTACGAGAAGGGGCTGAAGGATGGCTCGAGAGCCGGAAGATAAGAGTTCGATTCGGATTCCGGATTGATGCGAGCGCGAACACACACTCGTGTATTCCCAAAGCTGAAACCGTTCCGAAGCCCCCCCCCTTTACACACAGCAATTGCTTTGCTGCTCAATCGTTCATAGGAACGTGGTGACCCACACCGTGAACAGCCTTCTGACCGTCAGGAGATCGATCAGGGTTCAGGTGCCTAAGATCGAAGACAGAGACAACGTCGGCGTTAGGAGGCAGCTCGACGTCCCCGAGGTACAGTGGGACTAGTGTTCATGTATGGATAGCAGCAATATGTGTTTATGACAGACAAATCGAATGCCATGTTCGATAGATTGGTCCCATCGGAGGATATTCCGTTGTGCGGGGTGGGGGGCGTGTTTTATGTGACATCAAATGCCAAACACTACTCTGCTTGTGGGTGTCGCGTGAAGCCGGGTGAACTTTTCTGTGTACACAGCACGCCCTTAATCCTTGTTGGACCTTCAGAGGACGAAATGAGACCAATAGACTAGTCTGCCTGTGAGTAGAGTGGCCTCAACTGCTACCTGGGTGTCAAACTCAAGAAAAACGAATTTGGAAGCCAATACAAAACCAATAGACCTAAAAAAAAAAAAAAGACCTAATAGTGGGCGCTGAATATATACAGTAGTCTGATGGTTTGATTTGGGCCTCCAAGAGCGAACAAAGATAGCTCTCGGTAGTATTTTAGTCTCCTCGAAACCATGTAAATGGTCAGGTCTAGGTTAACATCCCGTCGAATATGAGTTTTTCTGGCAATATGAGTGTTTCCTCTCCATTCCGTTCCTGGTAGTGGAAAGCACTAAAATAATTTATAGATACACTTTGGAGCTGGGGACTGATCGAGCTTCAAAAGGGTAGAGTGTGCGGCATCACTCGTCTGCTATGAGGGTGAAGGAAAACCGTATGCTCCTGTGTTGTGCACGACACGCGCACGTACCGCCAGAAAAGCGTCAATGGGCCAGACCGTGTTCCACTCGTTGTCGGAGAGGCTCGCTACTTTGCCCATTCACCACGCATTGGAGTTCACAGCTCGGCTGGGATTGCTTCAGGCAGATGTCCTGGATGATGCGAAGCCGACGAAAAAGAGGGACCAAGCGACCAGCTGACCAGATGCGCCCCTTCTCCCAGCACGCAACTAGTGTTTACAAGGTGCAAGAGTCTAGCACCCGCCCGATCGGCTCGAAGTGTGCATCTGTTCTGTCGCATTTTTCATCCGGCGAATGTCTGCTGAAGGCGTGATTGAGCGGCGGTATTCGGGGATCTGACGTGTCATTGGCGGGGATGCAAAGTCGAAAAGATACCAAAATCATGGTTGCCGGACGAACAGACGCGGTGTTCTCAAAATCGGCCGGTTGGAGGGGGGGAGCAAATCTGCAAGAGAGGGGCACACTTGCAGTCACTACGCCCCATTCGCCGCACCCGAATTGCATGTAAGTATCTCGATCAACCGCATCCCCAGCAATATGACTTCGGTTTGAGGAAACGACCAGTCTAAACTCAAGTGAGCTGCGACAAAAACAAACCGTCTGCCCCAGATCGGTTTGCGAGTTCGTGTCGCTCACAATATTTCGCCTCTTCTAAATGAGACGTGCAGGACCTGTGCGTGTGTTCGGTAGTAGTCCCAGTAGACTACATGCATCTCCACACAATCTCAACGAATCACATTGCACACGTTGTAGCGAATCATCGTTCGGTGAAATCCATTCGGATTTACGCCATGCGACCACCACAGTATGTATGGGTTGACGTAATCAGGCCACCGCATTCCGTCTCCACCGCTTGCCGTCTGCTCTCTGTGTCGCACCCTCGCTCCTGTTCGTTCGTTGATACTCCATGCGTGCTGTCTGCACGTGTGCAATATGCGAGAGTCAAAACATAGTAGCAAATGACGTTCAGAAACTTAAGACCTAGTTGCAACAAGGTGCGGGAGCTCACTCACGTACTGAATACCGCACTTGCCGTGGGCAGCAATCGTTAGACGTGGGGCTCTCCCCACTTCCCGGCTGCACGTTTGACCCCCAGTTTGTTCGCACCGAACATACGCACAGTTCATAGACATCCGTGCGAATTGTGTAGACTGGTCGCGTTTCGTGTGCGTGCGAGATCAATGTCATTGTTCTCAGTTGATGGATTTCCTCTGGTGAGCCATGAAAAAAGTCGTTCTTCGGTGCCCCTTTCGAGTAGAGAGTCCCAGTTTGAGCTTTGTTGCGCTTTAGTTTCCTCCGTGCGGGGATACACTCTCAGGGGTTTTCCCTTTCCTGTGGGTCGATATTGTTTTGACTATTTTTTTGGATCACGAGGCACCGTCGTACACGAACGCAGAACGGCGATCGTTCCCAGTTCTAGGCCCGCGGGAAGAGCGGCCTTCCTCCCGAAACTCAAACCGTGGTCTTCACGGTCACTTGTGGAAATTCATCTCCCTATTGCAGACAATCGTCAATGGAATACCACCATCGTACGTTCCCTACTTGTATGCCCATGCAATGAAACACACGACAACATTTTTGCCTTGGAGTCGCACGGCTAAGTTTGGCAGCGTAAACTGCCAACACTGCCGTTGTGTTTTCCATTTGCTATGTATTGCAACGCAGATGGCCGCCGTCGACATCAGCGAGCTTCTCCGTCTGGAGGCCGAGCTGAAGAGTTCACGTGCACGTGAAACATGGACTGTTAGTCTAGACGCCAAGGTGAATCTCCTCAAGTACCTTCAAATCCAGACGGTACTGCAGTTTCAAGCAGCCTACGACGATATGTACTACGAGCTCCACCAGACGGGAGGGCTTGATTGCCTTCGTAGTATCGCCCCGGTTCGATCGACGGGCGTCTTCCAGCCCAAGGTCTTGGATCTACAGGACTGCGGTCAGGACGATCAACTTGAGAAGCAGCTAGAGTTCTATCTTGCGGACGCTGAGCTTGCAAAGGCTTGTTTGGACGAGCTCGTCATGAACGTCGCACATGACTCGAGCAAATACGAGGTTCAATGCGTGGAGATCAAGTCACGGGAAAGCACGCGACGGAAGGCCAGCACAGGGTATGATGGGGACGTCCGAAAGGTTGCTGACATGGCTAGAGTGACTGTGATTTGCGCCACACCGGAGGCCCTGAAAGAGGCGTACTTGGCTATTATGGAGTTGCCCGAGGTGAGTAGGACATGCAGATGTGGCGGAAACCCGCAATAGCTTTCGGAAGTCGTGCCGTACATATTCGCTCGCTTTTTATTTGAAGTGAACAGAAGAGGCGGACCGAGTGAAGCGATAGGTTACCCGAATTTATGTCCTTCGCTAACCTCTCCCCCCGCCCCACCCTTGATTGCACCATTGCATCAACCTCCAACGAGTGATGACATGGCTTTGCTGTTGTTGGTGGCCCTGATTATGTTTGTTCGCCAGGATTGTGGTGTACTCATAGTCGTGCATGCCGTAGTCGTTAGGGCATTGACCTCGCATCCCAACAAAGCCGAGACGGGGCATGCCGAGTTCTCACCAGACTAGGATTGCGGTGTGGGTCCTTTTTTCTTGTGCCTCTTTGTAGGATGATTTAGTTTGGTTTCTTCGCCTAGTTCTTCTTCATGTTTTTGTTTTTCTTTCGTCCTTTTCGTTTCTTCCCCGGGTGGCCTTTCTTCTTTCTCTGTCAAGTACCAAGATTGAAAATCAGGGAATGCACCCCTCTCCGTCTCTGGTCCGCGATGTTGACTTTCAGTTTCATTTCTTCCCCACATGGCGTGGAGAGGGGAGCGGAGGGCTCCAGATTTGTCTGTCTTTGATTTCAATTGGTCTGCGAACCATTCGGGTCCATAAGTTTTTAGTCAACCCTTTTTAGTTAAGTTAGCCTGTGACCACGGCTATCGACAGGTCAAGGACCGATGAAGGTATGGGTAGAGAGATCAGAATGCTTTTCATGTGAATACAACAACAACAACGTGAGGAACTTTGGAGAACGACGACGGCCTCTTTGTGTGCCCAATTGTAGCGATCGTTGACCTGGACCGTGACGCGTAGGGTTGGTCGATTCCTCTTTGGGTTACTCGTGATTCAGACTCATTTCTTTTACCCTGATATTGTTCCCAATGGCCGTGTTGAGGTTCTCCGGTTCAGTTGGCGAGACTGGACCCTTTCTTCCCTCGATGTTCGATATGACTGGCGGCACCGATCCACTCTGATCCTCGAAGAGCGGCCGCGCAATCTCCATTTATACCACATGCATCGCGGCGGGATCTACCCAACGCTTCCCGAGATCCAAATGCACCTGCTGGAAAGATCTTTGCGTTCCAGACAAAGTTGCGCCGGTGTATTGCACCCGAAGTATAAGCTGAACAAATCCACATGTAGTTGGAGATCGACGCAACATTGTTTTGTCGTTTTGCCACGTCCCAGAGATGAAAGAGTTGCATTTTGAACTCCATACTACCAATTCGTTGCTCCCAAGAACTGGTATTCGCCAGGATCAGCAAGCGATCATCCATGACACTAGTCCACAACGTACAATTCGTGATGCACCCTGTTTGTCGCTACCCTTGTGAAACGGCTCAGCAACAGGTTCTGCGGGTGAAAAACGGCTTCAACTCCGACTGGATGCCTAGCGGATATCGAGATGTAAAGTTGAACCCCGTCGTGAACGACCACCTATGCGAGATTCAGCTGCACCTCCGCGGGTTTTTTGAATTGAAAGGCGGCCAACACGCCGTGTACGAGTGGGCGCGGGAGCTCAACGTCACCACGGATATGCGCAGCAAGGACCTGTTCAAGAATCTGTCCCCCGAAGTTTCCGAGGAGATGATTCGTCTGGCTGGGCAAAACTGGGCTGGAACTGCGTACGTTTTACCGGACGTACAGCTCGATGCTGGACAGTACGATTTGGCCGAGAAGAGCCACCGACAGGTAGCGTTGGGGGATTCAGTTGAGGTCGGATCTTGTGTTTGCACATAGGTTTGTGTTGGAGCACGTTTTCAATAGACGTACGTGCACAACATACCGGTGATTCCTGTGGAGTGGGTTCAGTAAAGGACAGCGTTGGTAAAGGGTGATGCAAGACGGACATGAGAGCAGGCAACAGGACCAGCCCACAGCTGGCTGCCAGCGGGCACTTGTGATGTTTCCGAAGCCCAACAGCTCGCACGGCTGACTTGTAGTACTTGAAGAACCCGGCGACTTCAACGAACCATCTGTATGCAGTCTCGTGTAAGGTGGATGCGGTTTGTGGTCCGCTCACCTTCCAGGAACTTGCGGATGCTGAGCACGAAGCACGGGAATTCGAGGACCACGACAGCGAGGAATCGAGACGAGCAATGCACGGCGAAAACACAGCCAGGTCAAGACTCGCCCATGTTCTGGAGAAGCAGGTAACGGGCGCGCGTTTCGATTCGACCACTACTTAGAGGTCGCCGAAGAATTTTGCTTAACGGCGAACAACCTTGTAAACCTTTGCTTTGAGACGACGACAATCGTTGCTCCGATCAACGTCTGGTTTATGAACAGGGTCAGAGCGATAGTCATTTGTTGTTGCTGAGGAGCATACCGCAGTCATGGGTGATGCCTGCCGTCAAAACAAAACTGCTGTTAGATCCGAAACCTATTCCACGCTCTTGCGGATGGGAAAATATCAGCATGCTGCCAAAATCTTGTTTGGGAGACAGTGAACTCGATCGTAAGGACCATTTTGGAGATGGATGTTGTTGCTTTGATCATTTCTCAGACCATGCGGAACTCAGCATATATCCAGCGCAGCCTTGAACTGGTAGAACGCACCCGCAGACGCATCGCGCCGTCTAGGCACTCAGAGCCGAGGAGTTGGCTAACAACTCTGCGGTGGGGACGCCAAACCGCTACAACCAGAGGACACCTCACAGGTGGTTTGCAGAACAGGCTAGCGGCATGACGTACATGCCAATACGTTTCTCCGCACCACACGGTTTTTAGCGCCAGGGCCAAAGCCTCTCTGAGGCCTGAGTATCTCGGGCCGACATTGTCTACCTCTCATCCACCACGTGTACGCATCTTCTGCTTCCTCTCTCTCGCTTCATATTGCTTGAGAGATGCACTTTAAACCATATCAATCTGTTGTCTCTTCCGCACAATTGCTGCTCTCGCGTGCAAAATTTGTTGGGTGTGAGGCGGGTACATGCGCATGCATGTGAACAGTGCGCTATTGCTAGTGCCTATCTTCCACTCCTGTGGTGTAAGGTGCTGCTCGGAAAGCGAACTTGTGCCTGTCCTCGCTGTTTCGACCCAACATAAAAAACATGAGCATAAACAACATGAGGGAGTGTTCTCCAGACACCAAGTATCGTTTGGGTTCGGCGGAAACCTCCCTTCACAACATGTTGGGTGGTTTCACAAGGCCTCCTGGAAATCGGGCAAGTATGCCGAGTCGGATCCCCTGTACCATTGTACTAGTGAGATTGGGAAAAACACGCTTTTGGCCCCGATCATCTCGCTCTCACCACATGACTGACGAACTCGTCGGGGTTGCTGTCTACGACTTCTTCGCGCATGTGTTCAGCGCCACCAAAATATTTTTCACTTTCCTTTCCCATGACAATCCAGGGCAAGTTTGAGGAGGCAGAGACTATATACAGGCACTCGATGTCTATTCTTAAGAAGACACACGGTCCTGACCACCCGGAAATCGCTACAGGCCTCAACAACTGGGCGGGGTTGTTGAGCAGTCAGGTGAGGGCCAACCTATTTTCTTTACTGTCGTGCAATTGTCGTGGGTCCCACTCGTTGGTGGTTTTTCGGCATAGCTGCTCCATGAGCAGTGACGGGCTTCGTGTATGAGAAGGCCCTGCGTCCGTAGAACTTAGATGTGAGTATCTCGGGGGTCTACAAATAGTGGGTGACAAACCGCTCTTTGGTGGGCCACTTTGTTACACCAAGTCTCTGATGATTATTAACATGGTAGGTGCGACAATGACGACGCACTTTTGTGAACGATCAAAAGCCAATATGGCAAAAGGCGCTAGGTCCGGAGGACCCCAACGTGACCCAATCGGTCAACAGCCAAGCGGGGTTGTTCAGGGTGTGCTCGTCTGTACTGAACGTGTCTGACCTTGACCACGCTGCCATGACGCGTATCTCCCCCCTTCCCAGGTATTTAATCCCGAGGCTGATCCTCTGCACCTTCGGGATATTGAGGTTGGAGAGAAAAACATTTGAATCTGACTATCCAGCTCGTGCCTCACTGCTCAACTACCGGGAGGGGTGTTGGCCATGGTTCCTTCTCACATACAGCATCACGAAGCGAATTTCTCTCTTGCCTTTCGCGTCCCATGCCAGGGCAAGTATGACGCAGCCGAGCCTCTGTACGTTCGGTCGCTGGCTATCCGTGAGAAGGTGTACGGTCCTGACCACCCGGAGGTCGCTACAAGCCTCAACAACAGGGCGGAGTTCTTGAGACATCAGGTGAGAGCCATCAGAACAATTGAATGTCCCAGCATTTTGTGTTGCAGTGTCCACACGGGTTGGTAAATGGTTGGGCATGGTGAAGGTACTCTCGAGCGATCGGATGCCATGCTGTGTACATTTATTGGAGAGACGATCCTGCGTCCAGAGCACCCAAGTATGAGTCAACAGTTGGTGGGTGAAGAGGATCCGTATTAGGTGTGACCACTCCCTTACACAAACTCACTGGTGATCAGTATCAGGGTCGTCCAATGAGGCCGTAGTCCATATTGAAGGGTCACACTAATAATGATAGAAAGTGCTCGGGCAGGATCACCGTTATGTGGCCCATTCGCTCAACCAAAGGGCGCGGTTTGTTGAGCGTATGGTCGTCAGCGTTGAGTATAATTTCGCCTGGATTACCCAAGCATTTCTTTCCCTTCCAGGGTGAGTATACAAATCTTGAATTCCCCTGTATACTTTGGAGCTAACGGAATCGGAGAGAAACCGTTGGACCCTGACCACCCAGCACGCGCCACACTGCTCATCCAGCTCGGCGGGATTGTTGGCTACGGTGTCTTCGCACATGCCGCGTCACCTAACCTATTTCGCGCTTTTCTTTCCTGTCACATCCCAGGGCAAGTATGAGGAGGCTGAGCCTCTCCACGATCGGTCGTTGGCTATCCTTGAGAAGGTTTTAGGTCCGGACCACCTGGACGTCGCTATTGTCCTAAACAACTGGGCGGAGACTTTGCACCGGCAGGTGACGGGCATCGGAGGTTTTTGAATTTCTCACAAGTTCCCCTGTCGGGGCCACACTTTTTGGGGAACCGTTAGTTCATAGCGAGGCTACTCTATGAACAGTCAAGGGATGCATATAGCAGAATATGCCCTGTGTCTGGACAACCCTGATGTTCGGATTTCTAGGATCCACATTCGGTCAGTGAAGACCCTTTCGTTCATGGTGGACCACTCCGTTTCACCCACTCCGTGAGTATAACTACAACGGTAGGTACGACGAGGCCAAGTTTCTGAATGGTCACAGTCACTATGACAGAGAGCGCTACAACAGGCCAGCAGCACCCCGATGTGGCCCATTTGCTCAATAGCCGGGCGGGGTTGATGAGGGTGTATTCATGCGCAATGAGTCTTTCTGGCCTAAACCGCCGAGACGTTATTATTTCCCCTTCCAGATGATATATGCCGAGGCAGTTCCTCTTTACCATGGAGCTATTGAGATTGCGAAAACCATCGCAGCGCCTTGATGAGCCAGCTTTTGCCGCTCGCCTCGCCAACCCGGCCGGGGTGGGTCCTCGTCGCATGTTCAGCGTCACCGAATGAATCTTGCTCTTGCCATTCCTGCCACACTCAGGGCAAGTATGAGGAGGCCGGGCCTCTGTACGTTCGATCGCTGGCTATCCGTGAGAAGGTTTCCGGTCCTGACCACCCGGTAGTCGCTAAAGGCCTCAACAACTGGGCGGAGTTCTTGAACAGTCAGGTGAGAGCCATGAGAGCTTTTCAACTTCCCGGCGATGGCATTGGATCCACACTTGTTGGGAGAGCGTTGGTTCAAGGCGAAACTACTTTGTGAGTAGTTACAGACTGCGTCTAGGAGAGAAGGCCTTGCGTCCGGAGTACCCAGGTATGACTCTTACTAGGGTCCACAGGTTGTTGGTAAAGTACTGCCCATTTCGGGAGAAGACTCAGCTACACCAACTCTGTGATCACAATCAATATTGTAGAAGGCGCTAGAGCAGTAGCAGCGCCATGTGGACCAGCCGCTAGGTACGCGGGGGGGGTTGTTGAGCGTGTGCGCGTCTGTGATATTATTTCCGTCTTGATACGACTGCCTTGACGGTTGTCGTTCCCCTGAGCAGGGAAGTATTCCAGAGGAGATCCTCTGTACCGTCGACCTACACGTTCGTCCTTGACCACCCAGCTCGCGCCACACGGCTCAACTAGCCCGGCAGGGCTATTGTATATGGTTTCTTCACTTTGAATGTCATCAAATGAACCTTTGCTCTTTCCTTTCCCATCACATTCTAGGGCAACTTTGACAAGGCAGAGCCGCTGCTCGTCCGGTCGTTGGCTATCCGTGAGAAGGTTTACGGTCCTGACCACCCGGAAGTCGCTATTGGCCTCAACAACTTGGCGGCGGTGTTGTTCCGGCAGGTGAGAGCATCACAAAGTTTGAATTCCCTGAAACATTGTATGGCTCACACTTGTTGGTGAAGCGATGGTTCCTGGCGGAGTCAATCTTTGAGCAGCCTCGTGCTACTTGTCGGAACGAAGGCCTTGTGTTCGGCGTACCCAGGTATGAGATACTCTAGGGTCCAACAATGATGGGTGAAGAAATTTCGCTTTTTGGTGGCCCGCTCACTCACACGAACTTTCTCATAATCGCAGCAGCGTAGGCACGACAGGGCCGGGCCACTTTGTGAACAGTTCGAAGTCAACATGAGAGAAGGCGCCAGGGCTGCAGCACGCAAATGTGGCCCTGTCGATCAATAACCGAGCGGGGTTGTCAAGCGTGTCTGTGTCCTCAACGTCATTTTCCGCATTGACAACACTTGACGGCGTTCCTTCCCCTGACGGGAGAAGCATTCCAGAGAAGAGCTTCTGTGCCTTCGACCTACACGCTTTGCCTTGACCACTAAGCTCGCGCCACAGCCCTCAACTAGCCCGTCAAGAGTATGTCTTGAATTCTTCTTCGCACTTGAAATGTTATCAAATGAATGTTTGCTTTTTGCTTTCCCATCACATTCCAGGGCAAGTTTGACAAGGCGGAGCCGCTGCTCGTCCGGTCGCTGGCTATCCATGAGAGAGTGTACGGTCCTGACCATCCGGACGTCGCTAGCGGGCTCAACAACCGGGCGCAGTTGTTGTGCCGGCAGGTGAGAGCCATCACAAATCTTGAATTCCCCTGAAACGTTGTATGGTTTACACTTGTTGGTGAAGCGATGGTTCTTGGCGGAGTCAATCTTTGGCCAGTCACAGGCAATGTGCCGGACAAAAGGCCTTGCGTTCAGAGTACCCAGATATGAGATACTCTAGGGTTCAACTATAATCGGTGAAGAAATTTCGCTTTTTGGTGGGCCGCTCGCTCACACGAACTCTTCTCATAGTCGTCAACAGCGCACGTACGACAAGGCCGGGCTATGCCATGAGCAGTCCTCAGTCAATATGAGAGAAGGCGCCAGGGCTGCAGCACCCGAATATGGCCCTGTCGATCAACAACCGAACGGGGTTAACAGCATATTGGTGAAATTGAGAGCGAAGTATCTGATTGAGAGCGAGATTGCGCGATGCGCTGCAGCTGGACCACTGCTGAGAGGTGGGGCTTGCTGTGTAGCTTGAATTGAAGTGCCAGCCCGTAGATACAAGCAGATACCCTGGTCATCCTGTGGGAGTCCCTCGATGTGGAGTTACAGCGGTGACCAGAAGCTACAGCAGAGCCCACCGCCCGAGGCCACACCGCCCTGCAACAGTTTGACGCAGGAATAGCCAATCTGGGGAAATCTAGCAACTGTCTAGCTCCTAGCTGCAGCATCCGATGACGATGACACGCATATGCTCGTGACGCTGCTGATGAGACCTTCAATTTGCGCCGCTTCTTGGAAGAGCCCGCCCCCTACTTCCCAAGAAACGGCAAGAGGCGTCTGAACCCGAGTTTAATTTTTTTGGCTCTCGCTCTCAATTTCATGCTTCGCTCTCAATTTCACCAATATGTTGTTGGNTGACCAGAAGCTACAGCAGAGCCCACCGCCCGAGGCCACACCGCCCTGCAACAGNGGCTTGCTGTGTAGCTTGAATTGAAGTGCCAGCCCGTAGATACAAGCAGATACCCTGGTCATCCTGTGGGAGTCCCTCGATGTGGAGTTACAGCGGTGACCAGAAGCTACAGCAGAGCCCACCGCCCGAGGCCACACCGCCCTGCAACAGTTTGAGGCAGTAATAGNGAGAGGTGGAGCTTGCTGTGTAGCTTGAATTGAAGTGCCAGCCCGTAGATACAAGCAGATACCCTGGTCATCCTGTGGGAGTCCCTCGATGTGGAGTTACAGCGGTGACCAGAAGCTACAGCAGAGCCCACCGCCCGAGGCCACACCGCCCTGCAACAGTTTGACGCAGGAATAGCCAATCTGGGGAAATCTAGCAACTGTCTAGCTCCTAGCTGCAGCATCCGATGACGATGACACGCATATGCTCGTGACGCTGCTGATGAGACCTTCAATTTGCGCCGCTTCTTGGAAGAGCCCGCCCCCTACTTCCCAAGAAACGGCAAGAGGCGTCTGAACCCGAGTTTAATTTTTTTGGCTCTCGCTCTCAATTTCATGCTTCGCTCTCAATTTCACCAATATGTTGTTGGTTGTCAAGCGTGTCTATGTCCTCAATGCACCGCATTGACAACACTTGACGGCGTTCCTTCCCCTGACGGGAGAAGCATTCCAGAGAAGATCTTCTGTACCTTCGACCTACACGCTTTGCCTTGATCACCCAGCTCGCGTCACACCCCTCAACTAGCCCGTCAGGGGTGTGTCTTGAGATCTCCTTCGCACTTGAAATGTNTCTTCTGTACCTTCGACCTACACGCTTTGCCTTGATCACCCAGCTCGCGTCACACCCCTCAACTAGCCCGTCAGGGGTGTGTCTTGAGATCTCCTTCGCACTTGAAATGTCATCAACTGAATATTTGTTTTTTCCTTTCTCATCACATGCCAGGGCAAGTTTGAAAAGGCGGAGCCGCTGTTCGTCCGGTCGCTGGCTATCCATGAGAGCGTGTACGGTCCTGACCACCCCGCAGTCGCTGCAGGCCTCAACAACTTGGCGGCGTTTTTGAGAGATCAGGTGAGAGCTGTTGTGTGTGTGTGTGTTCGTCCTATGTATTATGGCGTCAGCCCCCCCATTTTCTTGATGAGCGTGTACTACACGTTTTCAGTGTATCTATTCATAGAGTACTACACTTGTCAGTGTATTTTTTCGCCCAACTACAACCATCCAGGGTCACACAGGAGGGGGAAAATCCAGGGCTTTTTTCTTGTTTCTTTTATTTGAGTGCCCGACCTTCCTTCTTCGATGCGTGCTGAATTTTCTTAGGAACGCGAGAAGGGTCCAGCCAACTCTTTCCCTCGTCGACGGTGCTAACGTTGAAGTTTGGTGCTCACGAGAGCTTATCAGTTATATTTCGCTTTCACCCACAAATTTGTGAATTGTGCACCCCATGCAGATTCGAACTCACGACTTTTGCGACTGGCGGTTTCGAGGTTACCACAAGACCTCCGGGGGGAGAGGTTTGCATATCACAAATCTAAAATACGGCCGAAAATGCTGAACGGCAACGTGTCGGGCAGAAGGCCTTGCGTTCGGAAAATCCAGATATGAGATATTCTAGGGTCCAGCAATGGTCGGTGACGAAAATTCGTTTTTTGGTGGACCACTCTCTCACAACTCTCTCATGATCGTCAACATGAGAGAAGGCGCCTGGGCAAGCTCAGTCGATCAACAACTGGGCGGGGTTGTTGAGCGCGTGTGTGTCAGCAATATCATGTTCCGCCTTGACAACGCTGTCTTTGACCACCCAGCTCTTGCCAGCCGGCTCAGCTAGCCCGGCGGGCTCGTTGCCTTTGGTTTCTTCGCGCACAAAGCGTCACCAAATGAATCTCGCCGCCTTCCCATCACATTTCAGGGCAAGTATGAGGAGGCCCAGCCTCTGTTTATTCGGTCTCTGGCTATCCATAAGAAGGTTTACGGTCCTGGCCACCCGGAAACTGCTACTGTCCTCAACAACTGGGCGGGGTTGATGAAAGATAAGGTGAGAGCAACAAAAATTTATGAGTTTCCCAGAGACTTTGGGAGGGCCACATATGTTGGTGAATCGTTCCTATACATAGAAAAGCGGCTTTCTCAACAATCACAGGCTGCGTGTTGTGGAGAAGACCTCGTGTCCGCCGAACCCATGTGAGCTTTTCTAGGGTCCACAAATGGTCGGTGCAAATTCTTGTTGTTGGTGGACCACCTCGTTACAACCTACGTCTGACGAATTCACAGGGCGTGTACGACGAGGCTGAACCGCTGTACCAGAGGGCACAGGAGATGATGGAGAACGCGTTGGGGCGGGATCATCCAAACATTGCCACAATTTTGAACAACCGGGCGTTGGTGATGGAGAATCAGGTGAGAGGCCATGAAAGTATCCTGGGAAGTCGTTGAGCTCATCTTGCTGGTGAATTGTGTAGAATATTGGTGAAACTCCTCCATTGAGAGGAACAATGCCTTGGCAAATCCGAAGTCATGTACAGTTTCTAACGTGGATCTCATGTAATTGGGCAGAGTACGATTGGCCCCGACCCCCCAGATCTTACAACACAGCTCAGCTTTGTTATCTACAGTTTCTTCGCACATTCAGCATCACCAAACAGAATGCGTTCTTTCCGCTCCCGTCACATTCCAGGGCAAATATGAGGAAGCGGAGCCTCTGTACATTCGCTCACTGGCTATCGATGAGAATACTTTTGGTCCTGACCACCCGGAAGTCGCTGCAGACCTCAACAACCGGGCGGCGTCGTTGTGCCGGCAGGTAAGTGCCAACCAATGCGTCTAGATGGTTGTAAAAGGAGGCATTCCGCTGTAGGTCGAGATCTCATTTGACATTTTCCAACTCTCGGCCACGCTGTTCAACACATAGTATGGCACGTATGCTGAGACCGAGCCACTCAATGAGCGGTCAAAAGCCATGACCGCGGACGGTCTGTGTCTGTAGCAATGTCGCCCAGGCGTTCAACAACCGGGCGGGAAGGGTCGCGAAACGTTCTCCACAGTTGTAGACTACCCTTGGACTGAAGTCTGCATCTAACTCTGGCACGGTGTGGACTGCAAATAGGGCAAGTACATTGAGGCTGAACCGCTCTGTGCGCGTTGCCAGTCGAAATTCGAAAGATTCTTGGGTTCCCCGAGCCAGAATGTGGCAAAAGCCCGTACACAACCGGGCTGGGTGGTTGAGCGACAGTCATTTGATTTTTGCAGTTTTTCTTCTGCAGTCCATATTCAGCGGTGAATCGTTTATTTCCGCGTAGATCACTCACATAGTCCACAGCTAGGTATGAACGACCAATACGGTAAATCCTGGTCATTCTACGAGGGATCACTAGCCGTTCATGAGTTGCTGGGCTCGGGGTAGTATCTCCCACTTTACTGAACTGGTAATTCTGCCTCATTGTACTACTGGATGCCAAGGTTTATACGCGAAGGTTGTGCCCATTTGTACGCGGGGTCTTGCAAGACGCGAGGGGTTGGCTCCGAGTGTGGCCGCAACCTACGACATGTGTGTACTGCGAAGCTGGAACGAATCGATCTGCATTTCCACCGCCAAAGTCTTGCCGTGTACATGTGGTTTACCCGCTGGATTATGCTGCTCATTCCTGCATGTCAAACGTCGACAGAAGAAGTACACGGAGGCGATCCCACTATTGGAGAGGGCCCTCACTATCCGAACGAAGTGCTTTGGGGCAAACCACCCACACACAGTCGGGACTAGGAACGGGCTGGGAATTGTGCGAAAAGAGGCTCGTGCACAACTGGAAGGTCATGTAGGCAAGCCTCGTGCACAGCTCATTGGTGGCGATAGCGCCTGATGGCACTCACTGAAAATTGTGTGGTCCATATGGCACAAATGTAGACGATACGGAAGACGGTGTGTAGCGCTCACTGCAAACAAACGCGATGAGCAACACCGGGGGAAATCTCCCAAAAGGCAAGAGGAAATTCTTATCCGGTGCACCGAGACGTTACATATTCATCTCACGTCCTGGTATTCACGGATACTGGCTGTGGTGTTCATCAATATTGCATACCCTGTTGAAACGGTATGGATTGACCACTGATGGGTCGTTTTCGCTGCCAATGTCGTTTGTTGGGTACAGAGGATAGGCGTGTATCATTGGTGTTGTTTTTCGTACGTGGTGTGACCACCCTTCCCGTGGAAAGGGTAGACAACTTGCGTTGTGATTCTTGAGGCAGGGCGCTGAAACAGTCAGTCACGCTTGCCCACGAATGTTCCGGGTGTAAACGATGCGCCGCTCGGGTCCAACTGCCATTCAAATGCTGACCTTGACTTGCCGAGAGACATTTTAGTTTGTTCTAGTACAATCGAAGTACCAATGTACGATGAACCAGAATTGAGCAAAAGTAGGCTGCTATGATAGTCCTGCAGCTGGAGTCAAGCGTATTCACCCAGCTTGGAAAAAGCGGGTTTGTCGAAGAGAAAGAAGGTGCTAATGTTGGGTATCGAGGGATGTCCTTACCTTCACCGGTGATTTTGCCCCTTTCTCTCTTTAAATTGCCTTACGTCGGGATAGGTTGCATAGGCGTTCGGTCTCTGTTGAGGCGTCACGTGTAGCTATGGACAAGAGCGCCCCATCGAGGCCCGCAGAGAGCAATGGCTCGTAGCGTATTGTCTACATACCAGTTTTCTGTTGTTTTCACAGCGAGTTCATCGCCCTACGTGGCCGACCACACCTCCCAATATTAACCCTTGGAACAAATACAAGCACAACCCGAAATACGTGTAACGACTACTGATGTTTTGCTTGGTTTCAGATGTTTGCCGTGTGAGGAGTTGTCAGCTTTGCTACGAGAGCGCTTTTGTTTCAGCGAAGGGAAATTCCGCACCCCACGATTCACCCCCGAACGAGCAAGCCCCTCTTCACGCCGTCACAGCACACCAACATCAAGGTCGCAAGAGGATGCTCCAACACAACAACCTTGCCCATTCCTCGAGATATATACATCATCCACCCAGTGCACTCGGCCCGCTATGGAGTTTGTCTCACTTCGCTACTACCTCTGTCCCTCACCAACCACATAGATGGGCCCCATGAGGAACGTGGGAGACCTCGCGTTGAGGAGAGAGCCGGACAACCTCGCCCGCCGTCGCACATCTCCCTCCCCTAGTCCCTCAGCAGGAGAATACCATTTTCCTCTTCAACGAGCCGTTGCCCCCCTGCCTGCCTCCCAAAGGCCTACCGAGCTCATGCAGTATTTGGTTGAAGTCGTTGCATGGCCCTCGCCATGACCACAGACCCCATCATCCTTGCTACGTACTTCAACAAGTAGGCCGTCATTGAATGTTGTAAACAATCCCTTGTACGCGGCCCTGAGCGCATTGACATCATGGTTGTGTCTGCTCGGTTTTCATCTCCTCGTGCGCTTTCTGTCTCTCGGGAAGAGCTACCTCGACTGCTGCTGCTCTCGTTTCCGGGCAAACATACATGAAGCTGTCGGGCATAAGAAATTCTTGAGAATACGGATTCCGAGCATTTGCCGACAACGCTGACTTGCGATGGCTAGGTGAATTTCTTCGGGCGGCTTGCCGGTGTCGCCCTGTTCGACTGGTCTGTCGACTGTCTAAGCTTGGGAGGAGTTGGTCGGTCACCTGCCATGTCGACATTCCTTCTTGGAAAGCCTTGCAACTGGACCGACGGATTCTCGACTTGGCCCACATGCAAAATTGTTGGCGATTCGTCACATCACCGAGGGTCATACAGGGGTCAAATACAGTATCCACCGCCACCATGTTGTGATCGGAGTCTGGTTCAGCGGGCGAGTTGTTTGGGTGGGGGGTGTACAAACAGCATTGCGTACCCTACGGCGGCGCTTCTTCCGTGTCATCTGTATATATAACAGTAGATCCGTAGACTACGAAGATACAACAACTGCTATTAGGTATTGTAGCATTTCACCAGAAAGATCAGACGCTGGAACCGAAACAGTCGGTTTTCGAGGCAGTCCGCGCAGGCGCTCTCTTGCACCCGATACACCAACTTCCACCAGATTGCTTGACGAAGATTCGAAACTCTAACGACCAGCAGCGCAAAAGGACGGGCTTTGGCGCGCTGGGTACGCTATCATACCACCTTGCCAGCTCATCCAGCGCGTTGGTTCAGGTGCGCTTCTCGCGGGGATCATTTTTGGAGGGCGAACCCCTCAGACCGGCTTTCTTGAGAAAGAACAGCCCCGGCTTGATTGAGAACGAAATGAGCAGCAGACACGGCAGCGGGCAGACGAGAGAGCGTGTAACGACGCACACCCGCTCTTTTTCGTCTTCCGAAGGGTATCTACATATTCACAACTGTAGTCGGAACAGGAAGGGTCATTGAACACCCCCGCGATCGACTCGTCCCCATGCCCGCCTGCTCTACTGCTGTACATTCACAACGGGCTGCAAGCAGGGTCTACATGTATCTACATACATGTGGATGCGGCTTGGGTGTTTAGACTATTGGACTATAGCATTGATCGCGTTTTGTGTGTATTATATAGGTAACCCATTTTATTCTGGCGCCAGGCGTTCACGGTGGTAAGTGCTTGGCTGCAATACTCCACAGCAGTAACAAATAGTCGGGGGCAGTGAGTCGCGGAGTACAAACGTACGACTCGATACAATGCTGCAATAGTCTATCGGCCATGCTGTGCGATGTTTATCAAGGGAGGAAGAACAGCGGTTTTGACGCTGGCTCTTTTTCCTATCCTTTTATCCTATTGTTGTTGTTGTTGTTGTTGACTTCACATTAAACCGTATGCCAGTTGCTAAATGCCAAAATCTAGCAAAGACTCTCAGCCCGTGGTCACGAAAGTGCTAGAGCCATCTGAGGATCTAAAGAACACGCACACGTAGCAAGAAAAAGGTATCCAAGAGCCCGAAGAGGTACTACTAGTCTACACCTATATAATCCCTGCAGCACCGTACGCGTGCCCAAAAATGAACTACACGTCCGTCTCACCGTTCGACTACAGCAACATCACCCCCTAC